AGCGAAGAGGCCATGCTTATGTGAGGCTTGTGGTTGGTTTCCTATATATGTAAATATATACAATATAAATACATATTTACATATGAACATTTTTCACACAATACATTCTCATCATGGTTTCTCCTCCCTCAACTCTTCCTATATCCTCTCCACCTGCCCACCTGCCCAACTCCACACCCTTTCTCTGGTGATTTAACTGAGTTTTCTCTCTGGTCTCAGTGTTGTCCCTCTGAGCATGTGTCTTCTATCTCTACTTGCTTTTAAGACCTTATTTTTCCTTTGGTCTTTCAATTTCTCCATCATGTATAAATATTTTTGTGTATGTAAGAATCCTAGACATGGGCTGGAGAGATGGCTCAGCCATTAAAGGCTAGGCTTACAACCAAAAATATAATAATCCTAGACGTACAGGACTAAATAAATTTTAAAAGTTTAATATTACATTAAAGCAGTAATTTTGTGTTTGTGAGTGGGGGGTTATGTATGCTGTGATGTGTGTGTAGGTCGGAAGACAATTTGCTGGTGTTTTTCTCCTTAAACCATTAATGATTTGAGGATGCAGAGGGTAACTTTTAGAGTGTTGTTTCTGACAGTGATAGGTAGTGGTTCTAGCAATCTGAGAATTCTTAACCCATTCAGAGATGGGAGAATGAGAACAGGGATTCAGACTGGACAGTCTCCTTCCCAGTAACTGTTGTCTTGATGATTTAGTCTTTCAGAGTCCTGACTCAAATTGTAGACGACTTACTTGGGTCTCAAGTTCAATACCAACTTTCTCTCTCTATGAAGGTTCTGTGTGGCCTCTCATCTTCATGTTCAAGCTGGCAGGTGCCTCTGAGGGAAGATCAGTCACAGTGCTAGGCTTGCCCTCTAGGGTTCCACCAGGCTGAACCATGTCATATGACAGCACAGATAGCCAGATGGCATTTTGACACTTTCAAATTATGTCTTCTTGTTCTCAACAGAGGATGGTTCTGACCATCAGATTCACTAAAACTGGGTAGAGCACCATCCTGCTGGAGAAGGTTCACTCTCAAACCACAGACTCCTCTATTTTGGCACTGAAATGTTAGAAACAAGGATGGACTTCCAAAACATGGTTTAAAATTTATGTGGAAAGAAGCAAGCTGTATAAACAATGTCTGAAGCCTGACACATATGTAAATAAAAAGCAAACAATTCTATCCTTTTTTTTTTTTTGTGGGCAAATGTGTGTTTACATACAAATGGTGAACTGGTGGTGGGAAGTAGGTCTGGATTATGGGTGGTACATAGCAGGAGACTTAAACCATCTGTACTCTGATTTCTAATGAACATGTGGCATGTGGAACTTGGTGCTATTTTAAAATTTTTATTCATTAAAAAATGAAGGAAACAAGCATGTCCAGATTTGGCTGACTACTTCTGGTTGGTAGGATGACAGGCAGTTGCTGTTTCTTTTGTCCTCTCCAACTCAGTGATGTTCAACTGACAGCTGCTGAGGTTTCCTCCTCATCTTGTATTCTTACTGACGATGGATGCAGGATTCCCTTTCTGTCTTGAATTTTCTTGGACCAGCCGAGACCCTTCCTGATAGAGGATGATTTGGGTGAACTCAAGTTTCTTAGCTCAACATTGCCCTCTTCTGTTGCTACAGCACTGTTTAGTTTCTTTTAGGAAATGTCCACTTTTTATTGATTTAATTCATGGTCTTCCTTGGGAAACCAGTTCTCTATTTAATTTCACTGTGTTCCAAGGAATATCTCCTGCTTCCAAAATGGCCTCCTCCCTGCTGCATCTGTCCCTGCACACTCCACGTTGCTTCCTTTTCTTCAGAAGCAAATGATCTGACTTTGCCAAGTGTGTTCGTCAGCTTACTGCTGCCGTGGAAAAACATGTGAGGTAAAATTAATTTTGACTCACAGCTTTGGGTTTTCAGCTGTGATTACCCGGCCTGTCATTCTGAGCCTGTGGTGAGGGAGAACATCATGGTAAAGAGAATGTGGCAGGCGGTTCCCGACACCTAGGAAGCAGAGGGGCGGTAGGGGCTAGGCTCAACCTCTCCTTGAAGAGCACACCAATGACCCAGGCTCCTCTTACTAGGCTCCACCCCCTTCCAATAGCAACCCAGGCTGGATGACCACACTTTTAAGACGTTAGCCTCTAGCGGACAACACCAGGCCTCACCGCCAGCTCCAATACCCTGCCACTCAGGTTGGTTGGTTCCTCTCTGCTGGCATCACCTGTCTTCTTCCCCCACTTGGATTCTGGCAGACCCTGTTGTGTGCAACCCATTTCTGGCCAGCAGTGGGTTTCTGAGCTGACATTTACTTGTTTCCCTCACTTACGAATAAAAACGTACTTGTAGGATTAACCTTCTCCTCACTGTTGCAGGAGTGGGTTATTTCTTGTCCCATTAGAACCCCAAACAATAACATGCTGGTTTTTTCAACTGAGAAAGAACACATGCATTTTAACTTTTAGAAAGGATTATGTCTTAGCTATCTTTTTTGCTATCTGCTTCTAATTTCTTTGCCTTTTGCTTAGAGTGCTGTAGTCTAGAAATCTGAGGCTTTTGGAAACACCTTTGTGGTTGTGTGCTGTTGAGTTTCCTTTGAATGTTCCATGTGTGTTCTGTCTCTGAGATTAGAGATCTACTAAACAAATCTAGACTTTTTCTCCATCTCTGATTTGCCATGTCTGTGGGTTAAAACCTAGGACTGAAATTACTGCAGCTGTAATATCCTCTAGTCCACTGGCTGCTGGGAGTACTTTGAGGCTAAGTTCCTTGGTACATGCACACTGATGTGCACACATTCGTGGCCTACTGTGTCCTTTAACAGTGCAAAATTTTTGTCTTTTGTTTCCACTGTGAACTCTCATAGTCTGATATGAAAACAATTAAGCTTCCCTAATGTTTACAAATTCAGTATGCCTGTCTGTCTTGGGTTTGATACCCTCTGTCATTCTTGTTTGGGTCAGAGGGAATGTCTTGGTTGTGTGAATAGTATTTAAGTTTTCTTCCAAATTTGTCTTATTTCCTTGCTGTTAGTAACATGTAAATCTATGACATGCATATGTGTACCAATGAGAGCTTGAGTTTGGTCAAACGTTTCCTTAGACATTTATAGAGCTTTCTGACCAGGGCTGCCCGGGCACTGTTGGAGTGCCTGTCTCTGTGACCTGAAGGGCTACAGTACCCTGTCAAGTGCATGAAGGCAAGCTGTGCCATGTATGTTGTCATGTAGTGCCATCCAGCTACTTGGGAAGTTGAGGCAGGAAGGCTTCGAGTTCAAGCCAGGGATGCTAGATTGGCCTGAGGGCTGCCCCCAGCTCCATTGCCATCTCAGAAGAGAGGGGTACAGTGGAGCATTTTGAGAGGCCCCTGACCTTCCACAGATGCTGGTGTCCAACGCATGGGGAATACCAAGTGGAGAGACAGAGGGAGCAGTGGAAAAGGTGCTCTCACTTTCAAAACAGGGCAGGAGGCTCCCAAGGGCAAGAAAGCTGGGGTATAGTCAAGTGAGCTCCTGGCCAGTAGGAGCTGCATAGAGAGATGGTCTAGAAAACCAAGGCCAACCTGCTAACCAATGAAACAGGCAGACAGACATGGGGGGGGGTCAGTTGAATAGAGGTAGGAACTGAATGGATAACAGAAAGATAAGAATTGAGGAACTAATTTAAAAAAAGACAATAGAGGCTGCAGAGATGGCTCAGTGGTTAAAAGCACTTGCTGTTCTTCTAGATGATCTGAGTTTGGTTCCCAGCACCCTCACAGCCGTTTACAACATCCCATGACTCCAACTCTGCAGACACCCCTGCTCACACACACTAACCCCATAAGGACATATATAATTAAAAATAGATTTTTAAAATCAAACAAGAACAACTGCTGTTTGGTGAACAGAGAAATGGTGCTGTTATAGTAATGAGAATGTGATTTTCTGGAGAGTGAAGGGACAAAAAGAGGCACACATCTCAGAGGGGAAGCCACATTCGGTATGGCACTGCCAGACAAAGGGATGCCAGGCTTGATGGTGCATGCCTGTCTTTGCCTTTAATCCCAGTACTTAGGAGGTGAAGGCAGGCAGATCTCTATATGTTTGAGGCCAGCCTATTCTGTATAGTGCTTCTCAGGCCAGCCAAGGCTACATAGTGAGATCCTGTATTTTTTTTTTTTTTTTTTTTTTTTTAAGAAAAGACAGATGAAGAAGACAGAGGCCAGGACAAAGGGAGCCATACCTAGAGTGTGGGCTGGGCTTCCAGGAGTTGAGCTGTGAGGTACTGTCCACTGGTAACACTTTGAGTTAGCAGTGAAAACTTCTGCCTTGCCAGATGAAAGAGGATGTTTTTTAATTCTGTATTCTTAGCTTTAAAATGTTTGTTTTTAGTACTTTGATATTTTCTGGTTGACCTAGAGGCTGTTTTTGTTTGGAACAAAAGGATGTAAAACTGTGTTTGCACCCACTCATGGATTTAATTAGGCATGGTGCCCACTCTATAATAAATCATGGTTTTGGTTTCTCTTTGTTAAGGTAGTCAGAGGCCATTAGGCATGGGTCACTTACTAGAATGCACTCTTACCTTTGGGACGAGTTATCATCTCAATAGTGTCAATCACTTGATCATTTTATAACCCAAAGCCTCTTCCTTGGTTGTTTTGTGTTACACAAAGATCTTATTTTATTCTCATATTTGTTCACAGACATGATTCACATTTGCTATTTTGTACATAAGGAAATCATCTAAACATAGCAACAGTGCCAGCTTGACTAAAAAAAGTTATTTTCCATATCCACAAAAATTTTAATCAGATTCTTGTTAGAACATGTGTAAGAACTGGTTCTCATTGTCACAGCTCTTGATGTCAGATTACTAAAATAATTTATGTTTTGTTGTGGGAACATTGGTGCACGCAGAGCCTCCCAAATCACATGACCGCTTCTCAGCCCACACTCCTTCCTGACACATAGAAATTATTTGTGTTTTGTGGTAACGAATGAATGGCAGGAACAGCAGAATTTCAATGCGGCCGTTCTTTATTTGATTAAACATAGTCTCTATTTATTCTTAAAAAAACTAATTTAAGTTAAATGGCAACAAACCATGATAATTCAGAAAACATGTTGAAACCGAGAGTGAAGAGAAATGTTCTCTACGTAAACCACACTGTAAACCATAAAACTTATTTTTGTCAACTGCTTCTCATGACAGTGGCTGGGAATTTGACATTTCTACTACAGTAGGCAAAAAACCATGTACAATTCACTCTCCCACATGCCACATCACGTCTCTCTTTATATTTCCAAACTGAAAGCATTACAGCTCCCAGAGTGCTGAGTGAACTGAGCAAGTTCTCCTCCAGGGCCATGTCAGTGTGCCCGGGAGCCCCCAAACCACAGTCAGCCTTCACAAAGCAAGCCTGGCTCATGGAGGTGAACTTTTCCATGAACCCTGGCTAACATTTGACTAGACAAAGATGCCATGGACTCTGTATGAGGGTATTCATCCCACTTCCCCGACAGAACTCTTTAGTAGCCATTGCATGTGAAGTGAGTGTTGGGAACTTCTGCAGGATCTGAAGTTGAGCATTTTAAAGCTAGTAAATACAAGCGGCTAAACCCCTAATTGTACTTGAGGTATAGGTTCTATATAGCTGACTGAGTCACTTATAGACATTTTCTGATTAAAACTTCCCTGTCTCTACTTAAAGATGCTAAGAAGTCAGCACCATCCCATTTTCCTCCCGGCAGAAAGTGTTATTTAGCTTGGGCTATAACATTTTAAAACAATTGTGCATGCCCCCCGGGAGAATACCACAATAAATGTCTCACAAAACCACTCAGCTAATCCCAGGGTATAATCTGGCTGTTTTAAATTACTGCAGGGAATAGTATGGTCTTAATGACACTGTAGCTGCACAAAGCCAAAGAAAGCTAGAAAAAGAGGCCAAAAAGATGAGCTCAGAGCCAGCTAAAGTGACAACAAACATGTGGTTGTTTACTAGGATTGGAGAGGTTCTGTCTGCAGATGTTTGTGGTCACTGGAAGGTTCCAGAGGAATGAGTTGTTATGAAGATCTGCAGAGTCTGATGAGAGCAAGATTCTTCCTGGAGAAGGCATGCCGGAGGACAGTGGTGCCCAATGGTACAGACACAATTTATACAATTCTGTGGTCACATCATACTCTACTGGTCCCACAAAGTGTGCCAACAAATTAATATCGTATGGATGTCATTTAAAAGCCTCCCAAGGAGGAGTCATCACTGAAGCCGTTAGAGCACAGATGGTTCAACTATACACTGATATTCATACTTGCATTTTTGCATTATAGCTGCTTTTTCCCCTGTTGAACTGTAATGAATTGTCTCATAATCTATTCCATCTTCCTGCCATTAGCAGGCTTTGAATGTTCACAAATAGGAGCAAAGAACTCATTTTCCAGGGCTTTAATCACACAAAGAGGGAATGCCTAATTCTCTAAATGAAATGGTCTGTGATCACTGAAGCAGAGATTTAATATAGCACGGCAAATTAGGTAGATTTTAATAAATTACTTATCTCCCTGAATACTTTACATATGCTTAAGAAGGAATAGCCTGTTTGCAAACAGTGAAAACCCACAGCCTATAAAAATCCTTTGAAGAAAACGACAAATAAAAAAGTAAATTAAAAAATGAAATGCATTATATCTCAGACCCCCAGAGACAATTCCTTTGCAGCACTGATTCACAGCTCCATTAAAAATATCAATTAAACCCTTCAGCAAGACTGTGCAAAAGCTAGAAATTAACTTTGGGAGCTGCTTTTTGAGGGTCTGCATATCTAGATACATCCCAGAACTGAATAAGCTTGATGTAAGTTTAAAGAATGATAAAGAGGGTCTCCTTTCATGTCAAACTAAACATTTTAGAATTTGAGTCACACTTTAATTTTTTTATGTAATAACTTTAGTTTGTAAAGTATGAATTTCGTGTGTGTGTGTGTGTGTAGCTATCTATCTTTATATGAGTATAATCTTGGGTCCCATATCAGCATTACAGATACACTGATACCTTATAACCTGGAAGGACTACAATGTTTAGAAAACTAACAAAACTGGGGGTAATTTACTAAGTTGGTGCCATGTCTTCTTTATATTTAATTGATATAAACTGCATGCATCAAGGAAAATGCATACTGAGCTTTAATGTGCATAAAGTGGATATTAGCATTTTAAAGAGGAAGATTAACACATTAATCCAAGTAATTTTCATATATTGCTTCTAATAAAATCTTCACAGTATAAAAGTCTTAATGAGGCTAATCAGAGGCTTTCCATTTAGTGGGACGATTAGGGATAACATAAAAAGTGTTTTTTTTTTTTTCTCCCATAGGTTTCCTAAGATTTAGGCTTTTCCTTATGAAAAATAAAAATGAGACCTCTCCCAATTTTTTGTAAGAATTGTTGCAAATGTAAATAGATATTTCATTCTATCATGTTGATATAAATTATTGAGAAGGAAGCCCACTGAGGAGAACTGAAGTCCTAAGGGGGGGGGAGTAGTTATGGGGAAGAGGGGATAGAAAAATAAACAAACAAAAACTATACAAAACTTGTTCATGCCTAAACCCAGGCACTCCCCCTCAGCTCCCCATGAATTATAGATTACATACACCAGAGTGATTACTCAAAATCTCATCCTGCAGCTTTCATGTGGGCATTCTCTCAGAAGTAGGATGCCTCTGCAAGTGTCTTTCAGGCCTCTGAGTCTTCTCCGCATTGCTTGTAGACAGACCGCAGGGCATGGAGAGCCTCCACTGTCACCTTCAGCTTGCCGATGCTGCCTCCGTCTGCTCGGGCATCAAACACTGGGGAGAAGGCAGCAGCAAGGTCAATGATGTGCCATAGTTTTCTTGGCTAGGCTAGTTCACTCAGCTCTGAGATGAACAGTTGTGTGAGAGTACTACATGTGTGAAGATACACATTTTACATGTAACCTTGAAGCTTACCAAAGGCTATAGCTATTCACACGTGGTCAAAATTTCTTCTAACATACTGTGTGAATAACTAACTTCAGATCCCAAGCCACTGCAAAGGCATTAATGCAGTCAGCGTTAGAAAAAGCAGAATGTTGGACCCACGGACCTAAAACATCTGTGAATTGGCTCTGAGGGTCTGAGGTTCACTTCTTGAACCTTAGGAGAGCTATCAATGATGTCCAAAAGGCAGATTACCTAAGTCCTGAGGCTTCTTTGAACATAGCCTGGTGTATAATGCTGTATCAGCTGGTGAGACATTTCCCAGGGATCTAAGACCAGGAATCTGGAGTTTCTGAGTTTGATAGTGCTTATGGGTTGTGTAGTTTCTTGTTATTTCTTTGAACTTTAATGATGGGGGGTAGAACAAGTGTTCCTCCAGCCTCAGCCTCGTGAATGGGACCATTGTGAGGAAACCTTCAAAGGAAGTGTGGCAGGCATGTAGGTGGAGAAAGCAGTCACTGAACATACAGTGGCCCAGTGGTACCCAGACTATCCTCCTGAGCTCTCATCCTTTCTTGGAGACTGCTTGCTTACATACAATACAGAAAAAGGTTTTAAAATGCCATTAGGACCAGTGCCTGTCATTGGACTGGCTTCTTAAACATGGTCCTAACAGCTAGGTGTCAGCAGTGTGTGACCCTGTGGCCTCACAGGAGAGGGTGGGTCCCTAAACAGAGTTGACTGTAAGAAACTGATTTTGGTGATTTCTGTTAGACTCAGTTCCAGAGAGTTTACTAAGGTTACATGAACATTTTAATCCTGTCATCTTTTGCTCTGTGGCAAACAAAGTGTAACTAGCTGCCACCAAGTCAGATGTGCACACTTTATGGACATTTCCAAACATACTCCCAGATATTTATTTGGTTTAATCTGGGCAATTATTTGGCTCTATCTGGACTTTGGAGAACCTGCCATGTGTCTGGGACAGGTAGCTCCACATAGTTGCCATAGCACTGCAGAATCCTGGTCCTTAGGAACTGCTCAGAAAGTGATTTGATTGTGGCTTCAACAGGTGAATCAACAGACCCAGCACATTGTCTCAGAGAGGACTTAGGCAGTTCCAAGCAGAAGCAACGAGTTTCTTGACTGACTATGTGTGGCCAGAGCCTTCCTTGGCTATGGTTTATAAAGTATAATCCTTGGGTGATATAAGAACAGTAGATATGAGGCACTGCTGGGACTCACACCTAGCAAGGTAAATATCTAGGGCACAGTTTTGTGAGGAACACCCTAACTGCCAGAATCCTGGAGTTAGCAGAGAGGACACACTCTTTGGCTGCACCCCTGAACTAGAGAAGCCCCGAGAAGATGCAGCATGGTTTAGAATAACAAGCTTAAGGCCATGTGTTTTAGCCCCAACACTAAGAAATGTATTAGTTATTCCTGTGAAGCTCAATTATTTAAAAATTTCTACCAGCCACAGAAGGGTGAGGAAGGGGAGAGGAGGGTGCAGCGACAGGCTTCCAGCTGCAGCATTTGTTAGCTTGAGCTGCATAGCCTTCTGCTGAGGTGAGACAGGCCCCTCCCAGGCAGGAGAAAGAAGTCTGAATAAAGAGTCTTTGGCAGCTAGCTGGTGGCTGTGCAGACAGAGCCATGCTTGCATTCTTACCATCAATGTCCTGCTCGGTGATGTCTCTCCCTTTCTGAAACACATCCATGAGGTCAACATGAGCAATGCCGATGTCCTCACACTCCAGGTCCTGCTCGTCCTCAGGAGGGTCACTGACCACAGTAAAGCGCACACTAAGAAGTCAAGACAGAGAAGGTCACAGCCGCCACCTTCCTTCGTTCGTTCGTTCCTTCCTTCCTTTCTTTTCTTCCTTCCTTCCTTCCTTCCTTCCTTCCTTCCTTCCTTCCTTCCTTCCTTCCTTTCTGTTTTCTTTTTAAATATATAACTACATATGAAATGGTGATGTTTTCAATGATGCCACTTGAAAGGAAATTACCTTAGGCAAATATCTCACCTGAACTATTAGAAGTTCAGAGTTCACCCAGTTTCCCAATGAGCACAAATCTCCTTTTTAAACCTGGATGGTAATTATCTCCAGAATCAAAGAAAATGATCAGGCAAAGGGAAGGACCCAATGTCCATGTAATTATACCTAATGTGGTATGTTGATACCTCTACTTTTAAGACTAAAAGAATGAAGCACACAAAGGCCATGGTTGGTTACACAGTCAGCATTTTTGACAGGAAGAAATGCTCCCACCCCCAGGAGTACAACTCTGGGGTTGGTAGCAAGCAATCTCCCCAACTGCATGTGTTGTCCTACAAAATGCAGAGGTTGCACTGCCTGGGGAGCAGTCTGAATGCCCACAGAGAATTGCTGAGCTCTGCCCAATGGCTGTATCAGATATTCGTATTGCTTTAGCAACCTTTTAATATACAACCACAGCATCCAAGTTCTCCTTTACTTTTAGACACATAATTGAAGGGCCCTGATGGAACTGATTTGAGTTAGTGGCTTGTGCTGAGGCCAAACACACTTGGATTGACCAAATGACAGGAATTTACAGTTAAGTACTCTTTTGATATGTCTTGGCAGCATAGCTTAAACCATGGATGCTTGTAAACCTTACCATTTTAAATTCTATGAAACATATCTATCCCAAATCAGAAACAAAACATGAAACAGAAAAATTGAAGCCCCTGAGAAATCAGATCTTGAAAAACACAAATAAAATCCTTTCCAAATGCTCATAGGTAAACATGACAGTGTCTCTAACTAACTTGCTGAAGACATTAAGCATTTCATTCCTTTACATGCCCCGTTTTTAACTAGGAAAAGAATTTGAAGAAACTAGAAAGTAGAAATCTCCTAAGTGACAATGAAAGTTAACACCCGTTCACACAGAAATCACAGAACACAGACCCGGGCTGTCAAGCGATCTGAGTATTTTACATGATGCACAGGATACAGGGATTCAGGTGGGTGGTTAGGACATTTATTCGCAGTCTACATTCTGACTGCCATACTTAGATAGCTGTGTGATGTTGGAAAAATCACTCACATCTCCCTGACCTCAGTTTCCTGTGCCATGAGGACAATTATAGCTAGGAATGGGGAGGGTTCTTGTGAAGATCAGGTGAGATGATACATGTACCAGAGCCTGGAACACAGCAGGCTAAGTAAAGTGAAGAAAGGCGATTTAAATACACTTCCAAATAATGTACTCATTTTGTTAATTAAATGAAAATGACCACTGATAGAGCCTGAGAGGTGGTGTACTGGCTGCTCTTGTAGAGGACTTGGGTTTCAGTCCCAGCACCCACATGGCAGCTTACAAATATCTGCAACTCCAGTTCCAAGGGATCCATTGCCCTCTTCTGACCTCTGCAGGCTTAGCATACACATGGTGCATATGAAGACATGCAACACTCATGAACAACAATGATGATGACAACAACCTCAACAAAGTTGTTCTATAATGAATATAGTTTGCAAAGGAGAAATTTAAAAAAAAAACCCAAAACTAAAACATATGGCCACTGTTGCATGACATACTATCCTTCTAACAGTGCCAGTGGAGGGCACCCTACAGAATGGGACACACAGAAAAGAAAGGGTACAGAGTAATGAGCCATTTTTAGGTCACTGTAGGTACCCTGCCACTGGATACACTTTAATCTCAGATTTTGAGCTCATACCTGCATCATAAAGGAAGGCTATTACCTTCATTGAGTGTACATGAATTCTCAGACAAAAATGGAAAGCCTCTTAAGTTCTAGAAGACACTAGGAATGTGAAAATGCAATATTCCTGGCTTACATTCTATAGAGAACAGATGAGAGGTCAAATAAAATTCACAGATCCAAGAGTAGATCAGTGTTAAAACTCCTGCTTTACATGGACCTTGGCAAGAACCTGGCTTCCATTCTTAGCATTAAAAACAAATAAAACCAATGAAAGAACTAGAAAGTTAAACTCAAAAGTGAAGAAAGCTTACTAGATGAATTTAAAAACTAACATGCATACATACATTCACACACCCAAGGATACCTCCTAACCCACGTTTAGTCTGTCAGAACAAATGGGGCCTGATGCATGCCTCAGAGGCTGCTGGCCTGCCTGAGGGCCCAGATGCACATCTGGGGGTGCAAACATCATGTGCTCTCCAGCTGTGTCTTCCTGTAACTCTCTACTTCTGAGCCTAGCCTTGCTATCCCTCCCACCTATCCCAGAATGCCCTGTACATCATCCTTCCTGCTGGCATTCCCTCAGCCTGGAACCATATGTCCAGGCTTTTGTATCTTGACTGAGTCCCTCCAACCTTCATAAATCAGCTTAAATGTCACCTTCTCAGATTGGCTTTCATTTTTATCTTCTCTTTTAGCATTTAACTCGTTCAAACTTTTTTCTTTCTCTTTCTAAGGGTCCTTACTATATAGCTCTGGCTGGCCTGTAACTTGTTATGTAGTATGGACTGGCCTGTAACTCACAGAGATCTACCTGCTTCTGCCACCCAAGTGCTGGGATTAAAGGTGAGTGCCACCTATACCCTGTTTTGTTCAATTATTAATAGTCACAGCATGTAATTAATTCATTTGTTTACTTGTCATCACCGTTTGTCTTCCTCATTGTTGGATTTTCTCAGTAGAATGAGAAAAAAAAAAAAAAAAAAGAACTTGAATCAGACTCAAAAATATGACCTAAAATTAATAATGAAGAAAACATTTTTGGATATTTTATTTATTTCCATTTTATGTGTACAAGTGTTTGTGTGTGTGTGTGTGTGGGTGCGTGTGTGTGTGTGTGTGTGTGTGTGTGTGTGTGTGTGTGTGTGTGTCTGTGCTCCATGAGCATGCAGTGACCATGGAGGTCAGAGGGCATCAGATCCCCTGGGACTGGAGTAGATGGTTATGAGGCATCTGGTGGTGCTGGGAACTGAACCCAATCCTCTGGAAGAATAGCCCAGTGCTTCTGAACACAGAGCCACCTCTCCAGCCCCAAGTTAGTAATTTTAAAAGTTTTATTTCAATGTTATCACTGTTTAAAACAATTGTATATTTCCAAATGTAGATGAGACAGCATATAAAGGTATTATAAGCAATTCACTGAGTTGAGGAAGAATGATGACTGCTAGCTGTGGCTGGTAAGTTAGTTCCAGTATTGAGCAGGGCTGTCATCTGAGTAAGGGAGTTCTCAAACTACCTCTGAGTACAACAAAAAGAAAGATCATTTATTAGTGTCCCCTGGCTATGGCTACAGGAAGGGGCACACCATCCCTTTCTTCAGCACAGGGAGCAGAGCGGTGGGCCAGCATTAGCTGGATAAGCATTTCCCACTTGTGGTCTATATTAGGCTTTCACACAAAAGACAGGAACACTTGTATCCATGAGGGACAGTTCCCATTTTAAAAGAAATAATGTTGGGTGTAGGAGTTACTGCAGTTACTGTGGCCTTTTCTCTTCCTTTTTTCTGTGGTGCTTGGAATGAATGAAGGCTAGCATCTCACTCAGGCTAAGCAAGCACTCTACTACTGAGCTACCCCCACTACTATGTCTTTTCATTTCCAGATTTCTTTAGAGATAGAAAAAGAAACCTGCAAGGAGGAATTCCAGCATCCCAGAAATGAAGAGGACATACAGAGAGCTTCTCTATGTGAACTCCTGTCAGTACCTTCTGTGAGGCAGCTCTTGCCTTTGCAGCACGGCTCTTAGGATGTCTCTCTCCACTGGGTTGTTTTCTTTATCCAGGTAGATCACTATAGCAAAAGAAAAAAAACAAGTTCATACAAGGAAGTCACACAGACCTGTACTCCATTGGCGCCATCCTGTACTCTGTAAATACTGCTTTTAAAGACACACGCCATGCCACCTTGCTAGTGTGTCAGAGAAATACGAATCCAATCTGAATGTCGTCTAGTGTCAGACCACTGGCAGGTTTATGTGCACATTGTTAGAAAGGATACAAGCAACATCTTAGAGTGCTCCTCACCATCACTGCCTGCAATGGCTCTAGCAGACCTGACAGAGCACTGGGAGTCTTTACTGATTTGTATTTGAGGGATTCACAGCATTTTCCTTCACCCAAGAAGCAGTGGTAATGACATTGTATGGCAGCATGCTTGTCCTTCCTGACAGCCCAGTAATTTAAGCCTCCTCTCCTGCCACCATATGCAATAAAGATATCTAGTGTGCAGGTGAAGAAATTCAGGGCTGACGTAGCTGTGCATGGTGGAGCAGAGGAGAGGGGCTTTTTGGTATGTGATGGCTGTTTTGTTGCTGGCATTCAGGAATGTGGAATGTGGCAGAAACATTCCTGAAGGGCAGCAGTGCAGATGGACGGTACACACAGTGTGCACCTGGAGGGCGGCAGTGCAAATGGACGGTACACACAGTGTGCATCTGGAGGGCGGCAGTGCAGATGGACGGTATACACAGTGTGCACCTGGAGGGCGGCAGTGCAGATGGATGGTACACACAGTGTGCACCTGGAGGGCGGCAGTGCAGATGGACGGTATACACAGTGTGCACCTGGAGGGCGGCAGTGCAGATGGACGGTATACACAGTGTGCACCTGGAGGGCGGCAGTGCAGATGGATGGTATACACAGTGTGCACCTGGAGGGCGGCAGTGCAGATGGATGGTACACACAGTGTGCACCTGGAGGGCGGCAGTGCAGATGGACGGTATACACAGTGTGCACCTGGCACCCTGCTTTCTTAGCAAAGGACTCCCTCTTCCCTATGCCAGTCTGGGCTTAGGCCTCTCTCGTGGCCAGACCTCAACTCAGACACGAACGTTAGTGCACACAGGAACAGTGCTAAGGTGGATCTGGAGCTTGTGTTCCTTGAGGTTCCACTGGGCACACACATTTCACTGAAATGTTTCCAAGTACAGTTACAGTTCAGCTCCAAATATCCATATTACTGACTCATTCAACTGCCTGGGTCCTTGGACCATGTTATCTAAAATCCTAAGATTTGCCCTGTGGGAGTTAGGCACACGGAGTGGGAGACAAGATGCCTGTAGGGAGGTAACATAGTGGCTCAGGAGAAGTAGAAATCAATGAAGGAACAGTAGCCAAGTTACCCAGCTCTGGAGAGCTAAGGCCACTGTCCTGACAGTACTGCCATACTGTGTGGAGTTCATCATAGCTATGGAAATTTGCAAAGGTGTCACAAATGGTTCCCAGTGTTCTTATCATTGCCAGAAAGCCATCTTAGTAAATATACTGCACTAGCACTGTGGGTCAGTACCTCATTTTTTAGAGGTTGTCAGTTTATTGAACTTACTAGGATGATTTTTATTTTTTGCTAATTCATTATCTGGCTTATTGTGTATTATACTACTTCATAATTCCAAAGCTTTTAAGTCACATTGGTTTCTAACACTTGAGAGCCAGAATAATGAAAGTAATTTAAAAGAACGCTTGAAGTAGGTGGTGTGATGGCTCAGCAGACAGAAGCTCTTGCCGTTCAGGCCTGGTGACCTAAGAGCAGCACCTGGAGCACTGGGTAAGGGGAGAGCCAACTACCAAGTGCTGGTCTCTAACCTTCACAGAGGTGCTGTGGCACATGCATGCCCACACTTTCTTTCTCACTCACACTGAGGAAAAAAAAAAAAAAAAAAAAAAAAAAACAAAACCAGTGACTCTTTACATTAACTCCATCACACATTCAAATACAAAGACCTTTCAATTAAGTTTAGATTAGTTTTGATCAATTTCAATTTCTGTGGTAACATACATATAACTTAAAATGTAGCATTTTAACAATTTTATAGAATATGCTCATTGACATTAAATGTGGGCATGGAGAACATGTCACTACTTTTCCCCTCTAGAATGCTTCCCTCAGCCCCAACTGAAAGTCTACTTATTAATCAGTGATTTTTCATTCCCTTTCTTCTTCCATCCTTGGCAAACCTTGTTTCACTTTCTACATCGACCAACCTCCTCTAACCGGAATCACACACATGCCCTTTATCTCTGGCTCCTTTTTTCTCAGCAGTGGTAGTTTCAAGGCTCATCTTTGCTGCATGTATCATATGTAGTGCAGAATTATATTCCACTATATGCACACAAGACCTTCTGTCTTCCAAACCATCTGTGATGGACTTGTTGGATGTATCTCCTTCTAGGCGTTAGGAGCAGTGAACGCAGGATTCATTATGTGCTTGTGTCCTTGATTTTGATTCTTTCTGCTATTTACATAGAGGTAAAACTGCTGAGACATGGTAGCTCCATGTTTAACCTTCAAAAATAAAATAACTCTCCAACCATGTTTCTGCACCACCCTGTTGGGCATTTACTGAGTGATATTTTTGCACTAGGCACTACACTCACCCATAGGGTTAAGAGTGAGGTTGATCTGTATTTTACAGATGGGTAAGTAGACCAGAGAGGGCCAGAGCTTTGTTAGAGCAGGGTGAGAGCTCTCTACTGTCTGCGTCCCTGTCACCCCCCCCCCACAGCTAAGCTTTTCCTGGGTTTCAACCAGGCATTTTGTTTGTCTGAGGCTGGAATTAGGAGAGGTCTGTACCTGAGCTGGGCCCCCCATCTGCTTTCCCACTCTTCCATAAAGGGATATTGATTAGATCCATCAAGTTGACTTAATATTTTGGTTGACTCTTAAAAATTCATTTTTGAAAATAAAATTCTAGTTCCTAACCAATAAATTTGGTTTATAGATTGAAGCATACCAACTTGGACTTGTTCCTATTTGTACAAACATAACCTAGATTGGGCTTCTGATTTAGCTTAGTGGTTCTCAGTGTTTAACACACGTCCAAGCTACTTGCCTGGTTTGGTAAAATGCAGATTACTATGCTGAACCCTCAGAGTTTCGTTTCTGGTTCAAGGCATCTGCAGCACAGCCTAAGAATTTGCCATTCTGACATCTTTCCTCTTGCTGCTATCAATGCGGGTCAGGGTACCATACACCAAGAACCATCTCAGACCAACATTCCTTCACCTTCAGGAAGTACTCAGCACTCTCTGAAGAATGCTGTGGGAAAGAGGGACACTTTGGCCACCTATGACAAAGACACATGACCCTATGATGCTGTGAGCACTATGATTTATGTGGGATTCTGAAAGAATAGATGCATATTTTAAAAATAATTTCAATTGTAAATAAACCCCTTAAATGTAATTATGGTAGACACTAAAAGTAAACTGACTCTCTCAAACAGTTACAGTGTTTAACTCCCATTTTCATGAGAAATTGAACTTGTATAGAACTTGCTAAGTTTTGACATAAACTTCACAAAAGTACCCACTTAAAAAGAGCTGATAGTTCAAACTCAAGCTAATCTTTGGTTACCACCCAATTTAATAACTCTCAGTCATAGAATGGATGAAATTTTGCTAGCTGTGACAACACAAATGGAATTGGGAGGCTGGAGGGGGTTCAGTCCAATAGGCTGGGCTAGTGCATGTAGTCTCTACAGAAGTTGATCCCATATAAGCTGAGAACAGAATAATGGTTTCCAGAACTTGGGGGAGCAAGTAGGGGGAATGGGAAAGGTTGATCAGTGTGTCCCAGGCCATATTAGATAAGAGAAGGAAGTTCTGGTGTGCACTGTACAGGATAATTACTTCAAAGAGCAATTTTACCATGAAGAAGGCTGAATGTTAGCAAAACCGGACAAGCTTAGTCTGAGTTGAACATGTGTGCTGTGTATATGTATGGAAACATCATATGGTGTCTGTTAAGAAGTATAGCTATTATTTTTACTGTTATCTTCTTGGGTTCAGGGTTTGAACTTAGAGCCTCATGCTTGTTAGACAAGTCCTCTAGCATTGACTATATCTGCACTCCAACATTTATAATTACTGTGTTAATTAAATAGTGTAAAAACATCCTTCACTTTGGTAGGCTAAAAAAACCTGCCATTCTTTGTCAATATCAAATGCAAGAAAAAATGCAGATGGTTTAACTATAGGAAGTTGGTTGTTAACCTTGAACCTTTCGATAACTTTTATATTAAAATATTATCATCCCTGTAATCTTTATCTTTGCCAAATTCCTCTTCCTATTAGTAACAAAATCTGATGTTCTACACCCTTTTCATTTTCTGAATTAAACTTTAATTGTTCCAAAAGATAGACTGCTCGATCCTCAGAGACTAAGGGTCCAGATCTGCACAAGTCTCATAAAAACCCCAGCCGATTTCATTAATCTTTCTTTTTCCTACTGTCAGTTATCCAGAAAGCTTTATTCAGCCCAGACAACATCCTTCAGGCCTACCATTAATCTTTTCTCCCAAAACTATTTTCTTTACTCAGCATTCTTGGAGTAAAATTTTCAAGCCCAATAAAATGCAAATGTTTTATTCTTGCTACTAACGTCTAACAAGTGAAGTGAACTTCTGTTTTTTCAGTAACAGTAACCCAAGAAGATATTCTTGTCTGCACATGGAGCTGGCATTAACACCTCTTCATAAAGACTGAATTAGATTATGAATAATCCTGGGGATTGCTAGTTTATTCCAGTCATCTTATGAACCTAATTTAGGCCTTGACATTCAAGTTCCTTTTGTGTGATTCTATTCACAACAAAGAGTCAAGTCAGAGCAGGGTTCAGTGAACATCTCTATGAGTAGAGTGTTCACACAAGAGAGTGCGTCTAAACTGTGCCCTAAGTCTTCCTTTGGATTTCAAAAGCCGCTTTGGAAATAAAATGACTTTCATTAACTTTCAGTGAGTCTTGGAGGGTGTAAGGCTGTATTATATCAACTTTCTCTAAGTAACATGTAAATGGTAAATAGTACAATGATTAGTTACATTACAATAATAGTTGTCTATAAATCAAAGATTCAAGGAGGTAACTCTGTAACAGTGATCCAGGTATAAGGATTAAGGAATAAACATACTCATTGTGCTACTTAAATGAAAAAAAAAAATGCTAACAACGTTACTATTTCTCAAATTTTCTGATGACCTGGGACTTCACAGTTTTTCATATGAAACAACACCAGTTTTAAGTGCTCAGTGCATTTCTTTCTCCACTCACTAAGATGCCCACAAATAGTCAATTAATGAAAACTCGATACACAAGAATAAAAACTTAAGTATAATAAATATTGCTACTAAATTCTTTTCTATCCTAAAAAAGAGTTTCCCATCAATCAACAGGCTATTTCCTTAGAAGAATAAGCAACTCTTAAACCACTAATCAGATAGTAGAAGCCTTGTAACAAAGGGGAGAAATAGAGTAACCTAGCAGCAAGATCCCAAAAAGACCTCTGCAACTCGTGTACAAAACCTAGCAGGTGTTAGCATGTATCATAGGTTTGGTCTGAAGAAGGATGCTTTCTAGGCAAATGGAAACATCTGTTGTGCTACATGGCAACATTTCTCAGAGTTCAGGCAATTTCTCAAGAATAATCTGTTGCCAGTCTAGCTGAACACTGTGCTGCTGACCTTTAGACAACATAAAAGCCAAAGTCTATCTCTTTCCTTAGAACATTCTCATTAAAATTTTACTACTATCAGTATTTTGATATGGTTTATTTTTCTGGTACTATTTAATTGAATATTCTTAGTAAGCTTGAGAAAATACTTTTGGGAGTGAAAGTGAATGAAAGGATGTCCTCAGATTCTTGTCCCGACCACACCATGTACTTCTCAGACAGTTTCTCAAGGCATCACTTGTTAATGGAGTTTGAGCTGGAAGGGACCTCAGAATCACTTTGTCTTTTAAATAAGAAATGAAGAAACCAGGGAATCAACATATCTGGACCAAATTCACAAGCATACAGATAATATCAGAGCAGATCTCTGGGTCCTCAAGATTACCGACTCAAACAATGAATGTATTTCTAAAAAGGTCAATGTTTTGAGTAGGCATGCTCATCCATAATCCTGCTGCTACAACAGCAAGACTATATGTGTTTCTTAAAATGCAGTTTCTAAGACTGGCAAAACAAAAAACCAAACCAAACCAAACCAAACAATAACAACAAAAAACTCCTTGTAGTCTGGTTTGGTGGCTCATGCTTTTGATCCCAGCTCTTGTTAAGCAGAGGCAGGTGAATCTATGAGAGTTCAAGGCTAGTCAGTCTAGCCTGTGTAGCCAGTTCCAGGGCAGCTAGGACTATATAGAGAAATACTGTCTCAAAACATCATCATCATCATCATCATCTTAGTCCCCGTGGTGGTTAGAATGAGAATGACCCCAGAAGCTCATGTTTCAATGCTTTGTCCCAAGTTGGCTGAACTGTTTGGGAAGGATTAGGAGCGTGGCCTTGTTGGAGGGCTTGTGCCATTGGGAGGGAGTGCTGGGGTTTCAGAGTCTTATGCTACTCTAGTTGACTCCTTCTCTGCCTCCTGTTTGCTGTATCAGTATATAATCTCTCAGTCATGCCCATCTGCTGCCATTGTCTCTACCGTGACAGTCATGGACTGTCCTCTGAAGCTATAAGCCCCAAATAAACTCTTTCTTCTTTCAGTTGCCTTTACCATGGTGTCTCTTCACAGCAACAGAGAAGTCACCAAGACAGTGTCCAACTAGAATGAGATGATCTGCTTTAATAAAAGCTAGGCAGCACCCATCTTCATGCTGTCACATGGACTCCATAGAATGTACTAAGATGTTTTGACTCTTGATGAAGGGAACTTGATCTGACCTTTGTTTTCCCTCTGACTCTGCACTGCTTATCATTTCATGATCATGTAATATTAAGATTTCCTGAGAATTGATTGATCTGAACATTCTCAAGGTGTTTATTGGGTCCGTGTTGGTCCAGCAGACTTACATGTTACTTGGTAGATAGAGCAAGCCCTAGAAGGGAAACCTGCCTGCTGCAAAGTAAGAGCTTATGCATCATGGTATCAGGCAGTGCAGAAGCATTCATGACAAGGTAGTAACCAAAGGCAGCCCATATCAGGGCACAGCATGATCTGAATGCTGTAGCCTAGAAAACCCCTAGCACATTGCCCCCTTTTAAAATGTCACATTTTAAAATGAAACTAGTAGGGGCAGCCAGATACTGCTTTCTCATTGTCTGTGTTTTCTCTTAATTTTACAATGACTTCAAAGTGATTTTCTTAATTGTTATGCTACAGTGCTGGCTTTTATTAATCTAGTCTTACAAGACTTCTATGCATGTGAACATCACAGAATTAAACTCAGTGCATATTACCTTAGCTTCTTTACAGAAAAGAAAGCTCATATAAAAGTCTATATTTAAAAAAAACATCATACATACCATTGGTATAGTTATAGTAGACCCATTGCCCATTCTTGGGTTTTGGCAGTGACACAGGTGTCTCTTCAGCGGGAAGACTGTAGAACCGACATTCAATGAACAGCCGTTGGATTGTGTCATCCTTAGTTATTCGAGAATCATTGAGGCTCAGAGCTATGATCTCAATCCGAATTTCCTCTGATGACTATTTAAAGTAAAACCAAAAACAAAAAGTAAAATAATCAAGCAAAAAAAAAAAAAAAAAAAAAAAAAAAAAAACCCTCTTTTATTCTATTCTACTTTTAGTTTAAAATAAAACATCACAGCCAATGGGTTTCTTTTCTGGAATGCAGTGTACACTACTGTACATTCCACATGATAGATTATTCATGACACACAGAGAGAATGAGATTCTAATGCCCCAGGGTTTGAAGTTAACAGTGTCATGGCAATCTTCTCCTGATTTACATTTGAGGCTATAAATACCCCACTGGTAGTCTATGAGGAGTGAAGATTATGAGGTCTTCATCTCCGATGGCTTTCAGAATGACAAGTATCAGTTGGCCTTGTTTCAAGCTAGGTAATGAAGTACATGTTTATCACTGCTTTATTTAATCTACAGTACCTGGGAACGCTCAATTATGCAGCGATCAAAGCCTGTTGAACACTTTAGCACCGTTATGCTAATATCTATAGCTTTATCAATCTATAGCAACTGGAGCAAAAGCTACAGCTCATTTTCACATTTCTGACATAATTTATTTCATTCAGCAAGTAACACATTTTCAACAAAAGAAACAAACTATTATATCTACATTTACATATTATTTTTTGTAATTTATTTTCCATTTTCCATTATATAATAAAGAATTAAGATGACATTTGATATTCTCCTTAGAATATTAGACATTAACATGAGATTTAGAAGCGTTCCTTGAGGTGTGATTTCAATTGACAACTGGGACTTAAATATTTGATCATACTGCAAGATTTCCTGTTAAATTTGCTTCTCACAATTTAAAATTTGTTATTTAAATACTATTCTTTACTACCAAAGCCATGATAATATCAATCATATGAGCTTTAAGCAATAATTAGAAAAAATAACATTTGTTTTGTGACCAGGTTGTAGAAATTCACTGTTCAATGTATACCAGCATGTATATTCAGCATAGCGACAGTGTAGACATTTCACAGCATGTAATTAAGCAAATTAAAAAAAAGTAAGTATCCTATTGAAAGAATGCCTCCACAAAGAACCATTTCCATTGCTGCCAAACCTCCTCAATATTTGATGAAGTAATTTTACCCCCTTCTTTCAAAAGACATTTTCTTTTATTATGCATTCTAAGACACTTTAACTAAAAACTGAAATCTGAATATTTCAATAAGGTTATTTTATTATTCAGTAGATTCATGGAAATTTTACTAGGATGACAGAGAAAATTCCACACCATTCTGTCTCCACTAATACAGGTACAAGGCTGCAGCTGGCAATATTACTAGGATTAGCATAGTATGATGAAATATTTAAAGGAAAATTTTTTCTAAAACCTAATAAATCAAATGACTGCCAAATGTCATTAAAGTGATGGTCTTTGACTTGAATATGCTTTTCATATTCAAATTTGAAAAGAAAGAGATGAAAGCCTGGAAAGGTTACTCGGTTTCAACTAATAACCTCAAGCTCTCTCTGTTCACGTGCATAAAAAATGAAGTTGGCGCTATTGTCTAACCGCAGTTCAGAAAAGCCCTATGACTGTGAAGACTACATGGTAAGGAAAATGCCTTCAATGCTATTGTTTTTCTTCTTAAAATGTACTGTGGTTGCAAGAAGTGCACACATATATTTTATAATGCTGGCATGAGCAAAGCACTGTGCAAAACTGCAAGAGTGAATGGGAATATGGCAGCTTAGAATTATATGGCAATAGAACCTTACAAACAGTTTATGCTCCTGCTCAAAAGCAAGAGCGGGGATAGCTGTAGGGAAGGACAAACACTCATACTAGCCTGTGAAGATTAGAGTTTAAAGCTGTTCATGACACATATAATGAAGACACAAATGAATTTTAAGATAGCACCCTAATTTATTTAAGATGTTATTTTGTGTATATATATATATATATATATATATATATATATATATATATATATGCGATTCTCAGGCAGAAACTTGCATGATTTTAAAAACTAATTTGGTTGTGAGGACTATGAAGAATTCTACAAAGTTAATAACGAAAGCAAAATACACTGAATTATATGTAAAAAGAGGCATTTACACATATTTGTTTATTTTTCTTTCTGCTCCAATTTTGTCATTTTGGCAACTTCTCCCACCCTAATATTCTAATTTCCTGCTATGAGTGTAAGCCATGGTGTCTTTGTTCACTTGATGTTGTTAGATGGCTAAAGGGATGAATGTCAAGTAATCTATGTCCAGAGAGCAAGCTCTGAAAAATAAAATTTTCAAGCATTATAATTGTCAGTAATAGTACTGGGCAATTTTTTTGAACACCTGATTTAATCTGCTACATTCAAGGCAAAAGTTCAACTAGTACATGTAGGAAAATCTGGAGATGAAGAGGCCCAACAGCCTTGTGACTGGACATTTCTCTCCTCCCCCAATCCCATTTGTCTCTGGTATTTCTACTTCAGCCAATAGTACTGTCTTTTGACTGTTGTTGTCTACAGGTAATAGATCTGAGTCTTCTTGCTGTTTGCATCTTTCCCCCCTCCAACTATATTGTATAGGTCACCATTTCTGCTCATTTTTCTTCCTATATCAATGCTTGGCTGAACTTTCAAAATCATTTGATATTTTACATATTGTGCAGCCATTAGTCCATTTCCTCATTTAGTATCTCAGAAATGTCTTTAGGTTATTATTTGGGATAACTTTTAATACAATGAATTTTTAGCTATTAAAAAGTAGAAATTTGACAGAATGAGAGAGAAACTTGGTGGGATTAATATCATAGGTAACTTGTTGGCAATAGGAAACAGACTGTATTAACAATTCCAGTGACAGTGGGGACCACTATTGTGCACACCTAGGAAGTAGATCTACTCTCATTACTTCTAATCTCTTGTCAATCTACATCATCTTTTATTTTGGTCAAAGATCTTTCTACTATCTTATATTCTCGCCATTCCCACAAGCCATAGTGTGCTTGGTATATTGTTTGTATTTTGCATCTCTAGTGTATACTGTTTGAAATAGTCCTTTTCAGAGGACAAAATCCAGTCATTGTAACCATACACTTTGCGCTGGCTGCATTCTCCCACAGCCCTTCCTGCTTCTTGGGCTCAACTGCACTACATGGAGCCCTCACCTAGCTGCTTCTCTATACACAATGAGCTCAAGCAGGGAGGCACAGAGCCTACCTGTCTGCTGTTCAACATGCCCACCAGGACCTGCCCACAGTAGGCTAACAATAAACATTTAGTGGGAAATAGGACAATGAATATCTGCTATACAGCCAGAATAGCTTTTATATGCCTGAACTACTGAAGCTGCTGTTTTTAGGGTTTTCTCATTTGAAAAATGTTTATGTGTGATACATTTTGGGAAATGGGTGATTTTTAACTACTGCAAAACCAATTTTAATTGGGGAAGACTCTCTAAAAGATTAATGCACTGAATTTGGGTGGCAGGGTAGTATTACTTTAACTCTTTTGTATGTTTGAAATTTGTTACAATAAAGATACTTTAATTAAGAGGATTTGGAGTAATAATATAATCATTGAGAAGACAGTGGATGATGTTGGGAAATAATGGTCCTAGCACTTAGGAGCTAAGGCAGAAGGATCAACATGAATTTGAGGATAGCCTGGGCACATAAGTGAGATTCTGTCTCAATACACACACCCCCACACACTCACACACACATGCACTTATACAGAGAGGAAACAGTCCTTTTCAGTAGAAGCCTTCTAAAGGCTGCTTAGTATTACATAAGTAAAGGACATGTGTCACCTCTGCACAGCATTAGTATGCACAGGATACAGGGCAGTGGCCAGCTGGAACAGGCTCAGGCTTTTCCTTCTGTCTCCTCTTTATTGGTGTGGACCTCTGGTACTTGGTAAGTTGCTACATTCCATCATTGTCGTGTTCACTAGTGCCCCATCAGCCTCCCAGGTTAGGGAGATGTCAACATCAGTGTGTAAGAAGAACGTTTATAAATTGTGACTATGGTGAGCAGGGATAACAGAAGGGACTCAAATAAGAACTGCACAAGACTTATTCTTTGTTGTCAGTATAGATGGACACTACACGTTATGTGACTGAATGATCTGGAAACGTGATGACAGCTTGCATTACTCATGGAGAAAAATGAATCTGAGCTCTCGTGATTTTGGCTCCTTTCCACCATTGCTCTGACTGGCTAGTTTACATCCAGCCACAGTTTTCTATAGTGCTATTTAGGTTGTGACTAGCAAGCTGAAAATGTCCATGTTTGATCTCACACTGTTCTGCTTGGTTCTTCACCAGAGTTTAGCACTACACTGACACAATGGGGTTGGTCTGGCTTTCCTCTCCAGTGCTGGGGATTGAATCTAGGAACTTACGTATGCTAGATGGGCACTCTGTCACTTGTCTGGTTTTAAAAAAGTACTCTAACCTGAAAGCCCTACACGCAGTATCATGGCTTTCCATGGGAATGACTCATGATAAATGCTTTTTGACTCTTCTCAGCCAGTAAGACTGCATATAACTATGGTGAGGTTACAGAAGTGTTTTATCTTAGTCTTGATTTCTATAATGAGATGGCATTAAATTTTATATATATCTAATTTTAAAATTACATTTACTTGTGTGTGTATGTGTATGTGCCATAGTACTCAAATGCCACAGTGAGTTTGTAGCCAGGGGACAGTCACTTTCTTCTACCTTGCGGGGCCCAAGGACTGAATTTTGGCAGTCAGACTTGGCAGTGGCACCTACATCCACTAAGCCATTTTGCTGGCTTCACATTTAAATGTTCAATTATAAAACATAAAAATGTGAGAAAAGTACAGAAAATATTTGGCTTTTTAAGTATCCACTGTCTTACAAAGATGCCATGTTTTGCTACATATGTCAATTCTTTTGCTAAAGAAATGAGTATTAACAATAATATTAATGAAGGCAAATCCCCAAATTCTCTGTCTTTTTCAGAGGAGCTTTGTTCTGAAATTGGCTGTAACATCCCAAAGTATACA